CACCAAATATCTATCATAAAGCAAAAGTCATGCAGATGTGAAGAGTGCTAGCTTCCCATGTCGTATACAAACCCCACTGAGCTAATGTACGAGAAAAGGTCAAACTACACCGTAATTTGTACCCTATAATATTCCATATCCGTGTTCATCCCTTACCAAAGGTCAATTTGTGCCAGACTTTTTACCCTCTCCTCATTCCTATTCATCCCTACGTCAACCTGTGCCATATCTTTCCCCCTACACCTCATTCTTATTCATATCCTCATGATCATATAATTATGCTTATACATATTCATGTGACTTTTTATATTTCTGTAGCAAAGGTCAAACTGTACCAGACAGCCCCCCCACTACTCATGTCTTCCAAAAGCCAATGCTGTCGTTACCTTTCTAAGGGGATTACCGCCATAAAATGGCCCCAAATTACATTTTTCAGATAATTTACTTAGTTTAGTTCAAACGTTTGATTGCAAAGAATCCAGTCTTGTGCCTTACAGTTGCTGAGAAATAATAAGAAACATTAATTTGTCCCCAAGACACACGACGCACGGGAAGGTATATTTCCATCGAAATTTTTTGGTGGTAAAAAATGGTACAGCTACAGGTTAGGATTTACTAAATAAATTCATTGTACTCCCCTCTCTCATTACTCCATCTTCCCAGACCACCCCGCACCCCATCGGCCTTGCACTACGATATACGTGTGGAGCACCCCCCTCCCCCGTTCCCGCTCAGACGTTCTCTTGGCATGTGTTGCACGCCAAGAGAACACTGGCCTCGCGATTCCCATAGGGATATACATTTGTAGTTCTCTTGGGTACACCTTCATTCCAAGTCCTCATCCTAATGAAGGATAACTGATTCACCATACCATACGACGGTGTTTTCCTGGGTAACACTACTATGAACTGAAATAAACCGTATCGATCTGAGAGTACCAGTATAAAAAGAAACAAGACATTTGCCTACCTCGCTTTGCAAATTGACGAAGACAAAGGAGTCGCAGTGAGTTTCTTCGAGGGTAAGGAAGAGAAAGTCCAACTGAAGTACATGCAACTAAACGACGATAGCAACGAGAAGCCCCGTACAACTTCAACTACGCCGATACAATAATAAGAATAATGTACGTGTGAAACTACATTTTTCGTAAGTGACCGTGTGCGTTAAGGCAGGGACAAGATGAATCTTGTTCGCTGAGATGCACGGGCTGGCGAACACTGCAAAGGCTATTTCATGACTGAAACTGTTAGGTCCTTTTCCAGCTTGACTGCATAACTTTTTTTCTTTCTGAAAGGAAAATAAACAAACGAGACAAACGTAAAATAATTATGATCAGAGTATAAAATAAAGCACATGTACATCCGGTTTGCCTTCTGGTAGTCTCACTTTTATTCTCATTCTTATTGTACGTGAACATAAATTCGAAAGTGAATTTGGTTTTAATACATGAAAAGGAAACTCTCATCTTAAACCATAATTTATCTGTCGGACCTTCTCGCATGGACGGAAGATTCCACCCTCCACTTCCAAGATCTCAGGTGTCCCATACTCAGCCAACTAAGCATGAAGCCGTCCATTATAAGCAAACCTGTGAAATTTGGTCTGGTCCTTGCATGCGTACAAGAATTTTTGTTGTGGCGGTCCTTAAAACTCCCACGCTGTCATGCGTTTGCGCGTACTTAGCACGTCAGTAAGAAATGACAGCTGTTTACGAACTTAAATGGTCATTTTAGCCAAGTAGGTGTGTTCGATTTTCATGAAAAATTGTGTCATATTTCCGGAAGACAATGAGCGACTGAAGGATGCATTGCGATGACAGCAGATGTGTATGAGAGGGAGGATTCCTTCGCCAGTGCTCTTTTAAGGTTGAGTGGATAGATGGTGACGAGGGAATCTGGGTTGGAACTTGCACAAAATATGACGATTTTTCACGAAAACGAGACTCGGTTTTTCCAACCAAACGCGAAGAACTTTGGTTGGTTAACTGACCGTCATAGCTAACAATGGACCTTAAAACATCGCAAACAGCCTGCGTGGGTCCTTGCTCTATGGTCAGAAACAAACGGAGGAGAAAACTCACCCCCCGCCTTAGTCGATCAATAATATACGATCATCTATAAAGTGTTAAAACCGCTCGGAAAAAAAATGAAGAAACTGAAAAGAATATTGTACAATCGTCACTTCTATCCTTTTGAGTTTTTGTCTGTAGTTCAAGTCTGTGATAGTGACTTAGTCCACTTCTATTCGTGTGGTGTTTTCTGTCATCTGTTGTACAGCGACACAAAATATTAATCTTTGTTAATACAAGCCACCCATCAATAGTTTGACCGTGACACTGTGGCACATGCCATTTTGTTGACGTCCTTCTTTCGGGTAAATTCTATTTTGTTCGAGTTCAGCTCAAACACACGAGGCTGTGATTCCTTGAGTGGGGTCTCCCAGAGAGACGGTTCACGGGGAAATGTTCCGGAACAAAGTGTTCCTCCAATTATATCGTTCGTTCAGTTTACTTCCCTCGCGCCCTTTAACATAAATATTATTAGTGACCCAATAATAACATTGCAACCACCTCCAAGTTTACTGCCAAAACGCGCTAAACTGATTAGAGTTGAAGCATAACCCAACATCAGTGAAACTGTG